AGCAGCCCCCAACAGGGTCTAAATGGGTCCAGTCTGTTTGTTTGCTGGGTGATGGACCTCCTCTGGGGTTAATGTCAGGCTAAATTCCCTGCGGTCCTTAATGTTTTTGCTGTGAGTACATAGTACAGACTCTTTCCCAAGACTGTTAACAAAAGATAATTGTCACATTGTACATGTAGGCCTCCCTCTTCATGAAAGCTGCCCTCACTGTTCAGCTCTTGCCTTAGGACAGCCTCAAGAAAATGAGCCCAGGGTTACCGGAATTTGTTTTAATTAAAAGCCTCCTAACCTCCAGCGTGTCAATGTGTAACCCCGCATTCCTCTTGCTCTTTGAACGAAGCCTGTTTTTGTTTTTGTTGTTGTTGTTGTTTTTGCCTGTATATGAACATAGAACCAAACAGAGTCTGGCAGGGCCTCCAAGAGACATTAAGCCCCCCTGCACACTGGGCCACACTTCGCCCTCGTGCTTACTCACAGACAGCCTAAACACTGTGTTGCAGTGGAAACGGGAGAGGACCCATGGCCTTGGGACACCTGTGCCACCGGGGCTCGGATTCACAAGCTAAGTCATGCTTCTGTGCTTTAGAAAATGACCTCATCTTCTGCCAAGGCCACAGGCATCAGGTTGCAGATGATTCTAGAAGAGGTTTTCAAAGTTGGGGGTGGCCATTGTGAGCTCACTGAAATGGCTGGCTCTTTGTGAACCCACACCCGGCTTCAGGGCACCAGGTCCATGCTGGGGCATGGCATCTCCTCACCCTGCTTGACCTTCCATCTTTCTGGAAATCATTTGTCCGCCATGGACCTCCAGGGTGGTGTCCACCCCCAGAAGAACAAACTGCTCATTAGGGAGTCACTCCTTAGCTGTAGTAACAGGACAAATTTGCTCTCCCCACGAAGACTGATCATGTGGCTCCCAGTTCAGAAACCTAATTTGGGGGTTAGGTGAGGGAAATACATCGGGGTCTTACAGTAAAGGAGTTTTCCTGTATCCCAGGTAAAGATAAAAGTAGTTTCAAATTTAGAGGCAGGGAAGGCACCTGCAGTGGATGCCCAATACCTTCCTCTGTTCCCAGACTCAAGGCTCTTCTGATCTACAAGGGCCCTGCCAGGATGTCCAACATGTGGCCAACTTATATGGGCCAACAACCGTCAGAGAACCCCTCCCTCGCCCTCACCCCATCTGACCAGCGACCTTGCAGGCAGCACCTTCAGAGGGCAGACTCCAGGGCAGAGCCCATCTCCAACGTCCCACCACCACCCCTGGTTTGCATTCACTTCAGTAACCCTGCTGCCTTTGTTTCAGTAATAAATCCCTTCCTCCCTTCCCCTCCCTTCCTTCTTCCCTCACTCTCACTCGCTCTTCCAGAAATCCATGTGTGCTAACAACCATCCTCTTTGGAAAGTATGAATACGCCTCCCTGAGTTAGAGGTTGAGCCATTTATGCACTGGTTTGTTAGGCCAAGCAGCGCCCTCTCTCCTAGCATCTTTGTGAGATCAGCTGCACTAAGGGAAAGGAGTAGGTGGCACTTGGGTCTAGGGCACCTGCGGTTGGTCAGCATGTGACTGCTGGGAGAAGGGATACCAAGAGGTAACAGGACATGGGGCTAGAAAGGTATCAAGTGCACTGTGTCCTCCTGTGTCTGAAAGACCAGCTCCTTACTCAGGAAGGCGAGGGAAATGCTACCCATCTCTTTTGCCTCCTCCTCTATCTGAGTAGGGCACCACTTCTGCCAAAGCCCAGGGCCTGAAACTCAGTCCCTGCTTGTCCAGCCCCAATTCCTTCCTACATGCTTGACATCTGCCAGTCTTTATGGTAAGGGCTCATCTCAGGGGAACAAGGCTGAGACTCATGAAATATCTCTAGTCTTAAAGAAGGGCTCAGTTGCATTCTTTGGTTAATTCCCAATTAGACAGAAAATTAAAATAGCAAGAGTGCTCCACTCTTGAATATCCTTGTTAATTTTTAGACCTGGAATGTTCATCTCTGTAATGCTTTTAAAATCAACAAAATAAATGCCACATCATCCCCACATTTACTGTCATGAGATTCTCAAAGTAGCCAAAATTGATACTTAGTTTGCTCATTAAATCTGTAATGCTTTCTCCCATGAGTCCGCTACAAGTAAAGACATTTTCTACTTGGCAGAATTTTCTCCTACCAAGAGAAAATTCTGAGTAAATACCCTAGAAATCCACCTGCTGCTCCAGCAGTGGACAGACCCCCATTGAAAGAAAGGAACAGGGGACTCCCATTCAATCAACTTCTGTCTCGCTACAAACTCGGGGGGCAGTGGGCACTGAGACCTCTCCAGAAGACTTGACCTCACAGCAGAATTCCTGCTTCTTTCTGGCAACGGCCTAGGTTCCAAGCAAAGTAAATCTTGCAGAGAAATGAAACTTACTTGTTCTCAGACCTAATTTTTCTCTTGATTGACTAGATTCGAAAGACACACTGTGCAGGTGTCTCCTTTCTAAAACAGGTCACATGGAGTATACTTGAATCATTCCTTGAGACCCAGCATGCTCAGGGTGAATTTCAGATGCTCTCAAAAGTCTTCGAGATGTGCCTGAGGTGCAGATGAGCCCAGTCTTCTGTGCCTTTTGACCACTCTTCTTTTCATAGTGCTCCCGTCCTGTTAATGTCTCAATGTCCACCTCCACTTCCTGTGTCCCTCCTGGTCAGCCACGCATGGGCGAGAGAGGTCTATAACCACGATCCTCAAAGCTGTCCCCGAATTCAAATGATAATCATTTATTGAGCATGGACTAGGTGTTAGGCATGTCCTCAGTTGTTTATATGCATGAACCCATTTACTCCTGACAACAACCCTATAAAGAAGGCGCTAGTGTTATGTTCCCCCTTTCCAGATGAGGGCTTTGAGGTCTAGCCCTTACACAGCTAGAACTAGGCAGCAGAGTCAGAGCCTGAACCCGGGCAATCTCCCGAGTGCAGCCTCAGGAACAGCCACCCTCTCTGCACAGGCTGACCCAATTCCTGTTCCTCTGTGACTTCCGGAATGCGGTATTCATACAGGCCTCTTTGGAAGCACCTGGCACTCCATATCACAGTATGAGAAAAATGAATTCAAGGGGTGATTCTTTGGAAAAGGTATTAAAATAGAGAAAATACTAGCTGGTCTAATCAAGAAAATAGCAAGGACACACAAAATTGGAGGTGATAAAGGGGAAATAAGCCAATGCAGAGGAAATGCAGAGAAGCAGAAGATTATGTTTTATCTTTTTGCTCGTATGTATTTGCACTACATGATACACATGAGATTTCCAAAAGGAAATGTCCAGTTGGCCACTGTATACAGCCACGCTCATTCATTTATGTGTTACCATTCATTTATGGAAGCTTTTGTTCCTCAACAGCAGAGTTGAATAACTGAGACAGAGCCCATGTGCTCCCCAAAGCCTAAAATATTTACCATCTGGTCCTTCACAGAAGAACTTTGCTGACCCCTATGCTGGAGCCCTGTGATTTCTCCAGTTTCAGACTCGTTCCTAGTTAATCTCTCGGTTCAGAATTTCCGAACCAAATAGTTGATGTAGATTCAGACTTCACATGTGTGCCTGTCCCATATATGGTGTCCCCGTTTTAGATGCTATTTTTCTAGCCAGGATGGCCTCTAGTGGGACAACCGTGAGGCCTCACCTCACACCAATACAGTTGCTTTTATCTCCATTGTAGGGATTCCTGACTGTGTTAGTTTTCTTCTGCTGCATAACCAATGATGGTTGCTTAAACCCATTTATTAACTTGGTTCTGTAGGTCAGAAGTCTAGTCTTGTAAGGCTGGCTTAAATCGAGCTCAGGCTGAAATCAAGCTGTCAGCCTAAAAGCAAGCCATCGGCCAGCTACATTCTCCTCTGGAGCATGGGGTCCTTTTCCCAACTCATTCCTATTATTAGCAGAATTCACTTCCTTTCGGTTGTAGGACTGAAATCCCCATTTGCTTGCTGGCTATTGGCCAGGGACCTCTCTCGTCATCTATGGACCACTCTTGGGTCCTTACACCATGGTTCCTTCCATCTCACCAATGGAGAACCTCCTTGTCAAATCCCTCTTGTGCTTTGAATCTCTCTGGCTGCCTTTTTTGTTACCGAGTGGAGAAAACTCGGCTTTTAAAGGGCTCGGGTGAGTTGGTTAAGCCCAAGGGATAATCTCACTTTCTTAAAGTCAACCATGTCATATCACAAAACCTCATCACAGGAGTAATATCTCATCATATCGGCAAGTTCCACCCATCATCACAGGGGAGGGATTAGACAAAGGTGAAGGGCATATGGCGCCATCCTAGAATGCTGCCTACCACACTGGCTTGTTGTAGGGAGCTCTATTCCATCTTCTTACCACAGCCAGTCCTCAGGCCTCATCTCTAGTCCTCATCCTTATGGAATATACCTGTTTTCTAATACCCTCATGGAACATTCGGCTCCCACTCACTGCTCTGGCTTCTAGTTCCTTCTTCATTTTCTATACCTGAGGTTTTCCTTTTCTTGCTTTCAAGGTTGGCATACATTTAAAAATATGTTCATTATATTATGACCACTATGTTTATGTGTTTGGAATGGTTGGGTTCCTTCCTTCAGTGGCATGTCAGCCATATTTTCCCAAATTTTAATGTTGTAAAACTAGGTTCTAAGATAACAGAGTCCATTAAAGTAAGTGGATCCTTGAAGCCATACCCTCAGTGGGCAGCAACCCGAGTTATAGGAAGAATTAATGGTTAATCAACCAGAAAACGTTACCAGTATGTTCAGGTCTGGGGAATATTTTACGTTTGCATTAGCTTTGCTTACCGTATTGCTGGGAGAGCTAAAATGTATGAAAGCCATATCCCTCTGAGACCTAAATCTTTTCTGAAAAACAGGCACATTAACTAGGTCCTCTTGTCTAAATACTATCTTCAAATAGTTCACCACCGCTAAAAAGCATTTTTATCCTGTTTCCATTTCAACTCTTCAAATGTTGTTTTGATGCTTTTCTTCAGATGTGGCCGAGCAGTATTTTCAAGAGAGCATGGCTAATCTTAAGGATGCTGAAGGGACGGGAAAAGCCAGATTTCTTTCAATTCAAGATGATTATTGCCGTTTTCTACAAGTCACTGGACAAAAAGAGGTAAGTGAGTTTGGTCCAGAGTTGACTGTTTACATGAATTAATATCCGAAGTGCTACTCCTTCGCTTTGCAAGCATCCATTAAGCCTAAGGCATGTACCAGGCTCGCATAGGAATAGGGATAAATAAACCCAGGTGGCCTCTCTTAGGCAGCTCCCAGATACTCAGTCTTGGGAAACAAAAACTATAAGAATGTAGATGCCATGGTCCCCCACTCCCCACAAGGGATCCTAAAGGGCTAGAAACCTTGAAAACCCAGTGGGCAAACCCTGCTTCTCACAGCCTGTGGTTCTGGCTAGGATAGAGGAAGGCAGTTAATGGGCCTGATGCCTCTCTCCTTATTTTGGGTTATGGAAGGAATTTACATATCTAATGAGAGCTACACAGCACAGAAGTTACAGCTTACGGTCCATTGAACCAGACAAGCATGCGTTTCTTATGGCTTGTAAAAATGGAACAAGACCCAGAGTTTATATTCACTGGCAATTAAATAAACCTTTGGGGACTTATTCCATGCAAAGCCTAACAGTTACCAGAAAGCCAGTTGATGTGGCTTGATTTATATAGATTTTTTTTTTCAACTTTAACCTATCAAGGCAAATCCTTGAGATGAAAAGCTTGTATTTCCTCTGCTATTCTGTAGACCTCCCCCACGGCTCTGCCCTAGCCCTTAACCCCTCACCCTTCTCTCAATTGATATGAGCTTAAGGAACGTGAGTTTTTAATCTAGATGCACCCATGTTCGTCAGGCCAAAGTAGGACTGCGGTAACCATAACAAATGGAGTTCCCATATTTTTTTGGATCACCCAACTAAGTAGAAAGGGGCCTTCCAGGGGCCTCAGTTTCTAGAATATCTGGAGAAGTTCTGTGGAGAGCGCTCAGGTCAGAAGTCTGGAGGGGAAGAAGGGGAGTCTGCCCACATCATGCCTTACACCTTCCAGCTCAGCAGTCACTTTTACCTCTAGAATGTACTGGTTATCATGTCCACCTCTGCCAGTCATCACCTCCTGCCTGGACCACTCGAACAGACTCTGGTCCCCCAGCTGCCTTTTCCACTCTTGCCTTTTTCTCGTCCATTCTGAATAAGGAAGCAATGGCGATCTTTTCAGAACGCAGATCTGGTCAGTGAACCCCCATTTTCAAATTACTCCAGTGGCTTCTCAGTGCCCTTAAAATAAATCAGAATCCTGTATGTCTCATAATACCTTCAATGCAATCTGGATTCTGCTGACATTTCCGGTCTTATTTTCCCCCTTCCCTCAATCTGTTCTGGCCACATTGACCTTTTCTAATCCTCACTTCCAGGAAGTACCAACTTTCGTTTCCTGCTCTTGGAAGGCTCTTCCTCACTGATCACCTGGCTAATACAGATCCATCTTTGAGGACCCATCAGCTTGACTAATTCCTTTCCCCAGTCTTCATTTGATTCTTCCCATTATTGTATAGAATCATTTTTGACATAATAATAGGATAAGGGGCGCTTGGGTGGCACAGTGGCTTGAGCGTCCAACTCTTGGCTCGGGTCAGGTCATGATCTTGGGATCGTGAGTTCGAGCCCCATGTTGGGCTCTGCGCTGGGCGCAGAGTCACCCTGGGACTCTCTCTCCCTCTCCTTCTGCCCCTCCCACACATGCACTCGCTCTCTCTCTCTCTCTCTCTCTCTCAGATAATTTTAAAAAATATGATAAGCACAGTATAGGAATAACGTAACAACATAATAAGAATAGTAAGTTATATGTGGATGTGTACCCTCTCTCCCCTGACTGGACCGAATTCCGTGAGAGCAGGGACCCTCTTGCTCCTGGTGGGGAGCCATGAGCAGGTGGGTGGGTGGATGCTTGGCTGTGGGTCGCCTGACTGCTCCGGCTACCACAGGGCATCTACCCTCTCCCCCGTTTTTGTCTGGCTTCCTGCCCTGGTATCTGTCACCGATGCCACACTTCACCGCCCTTGCCCTAGTCACCCAAATCAGTGGTATTGAACTAGAGATGTACCTTGCTCCCCTCGACCTCCCTTGGAGATTTTGGCAAACTGGCTCTTTCCGTTCTGTCCCTGCCAGCCCTTCTAGTGCCCTGGCAAGAACAGAAAAAGCTGCATCTTCCTCAGGTGGACGCAGCTTGTGCCAGAGCACATTGCTTGGAGAGTGGCACACAGGCTGGATTTCAGCTGTCCTCGCTGTCCTGTCCTTGTGCATGACACAACTCAACCAACCGGACGTGGCAGGCTTGCACGGTGCTCACCCTGGCTGCAGCCCTCTCCCTATGGGTTCTCGCAGGTGGCCAACAAGGCTGGGCCCGAGGACAGTCCCAGGCATGAGCACGGCCCTGTGCTCAGACCACCCCAGATGCGGTCATTGCCCCTGCATGGGCTAGAGCCCTGTGCTAGTGTGAAGGTGATCTTTGGGAAGGACAATGACTTTTAAGGTAAAATGTAAGTGAAGGTCACTCTGCCACAGATTAAGACACTTGTGTGGGGCTTCTCTTCTAGTTTTCTGCTCCAGAACCTTCTCCAGCTTCTTATTCCCCATAAGAAAATCCAAACTCCCGAGCCTGGCATGAAGGCCATCCACCAACCACCAGCCCTGCCTGCAACTCCTGCCTCATCTCCCCCTGCTGCCCTTCCTACTCTGTGCTGCAGTCAGATGAGCCCGCTGGCTGGCCCTGCCCTTCTCCCACCTCACCCCTGGGCTCCCAGTTTCCCATGCGCCCTCTCCTCAGCCCACCCGGGTCCTATTTTTCCTTCATTCCTGTCTGTTACGCTGTTCTACCTCTCACAGACTGACGCCATCTCTGTTTCCACCCATGTAACATCTCTTCCATTGCCATCTCCACCTGCCGTTCAAGTTCATGCACATCTCTCTCTAGTTTCCCCCACCAGGCTAGAAATGGCATCGAAAGCCTCATTTAGCAAAAAGAGTCTGGCTCTTCTTTCCATCATTGGCTCCTCAAAACCTGACAACCAGTTTCCATGGACAAGTTGCCAAGCCCAGCACCTGCACCTTGCCAAATCCTTGCTCACAGATGGCCGGGGGTGGGCTTCAGCATCAGGCAGGTTCCCCACGCACCAAGGTGGGTCACACACTTCACAATTTACAGTTGCTGTGCTCCTAGGGTGTTTCATCTTTCCACAAAGAAATTGTTTCTGCCTTATCAATGCCTTCGCTGTTCCACACCCCACACCCCACCCCAAGCACTTAACTCATATTATTGCCCATAAACTGAGTAAAGCTTTGTCAGCTCCTTCTGCCCGTGGAGCGCTTATCAGGATGCCTTCAGGGCTGTTTGGTGGGGGAAGCCCTTTAACGGGTTCCAGCCTTATTTGGCTCTCAAATTCAGCGTTTGTATTCCATTGCCATAATCATGCTTTCATGAAAGTACAAGGCCATGGAAGAATTTCAGAAGAAATGTGGGGGATGGACAGGCAGGACTTTCCCTCTGTACGTCTTGGGGTCTGACTGAAGAGATTAATGTCAGAAGATCCTGGTTTCTGACCAACTCATGTTTTTTATTCCACATTGGTGTAAATAAATCTGATAAACCACACAAAATGTCAAATATATTTAATTTTTTTTTGCCATGTTAGAATGTTTGCTTTTGGTTTCCTAAACTATTTCTTATGAGAAATAGAAACCCCCGGAATATATTCTGGATGTTTTGTAAGTACATAAATTGCCAGGAAACTCTAATTTTCACTTACATAAGAACGTCACTGTGCGCAGAGGGAAAAAGAGCCTGCAACTGAAAAGGATTAAAATTACAGGCCAGATTCAGATCCTAGGTCAAACACAGGGGAGCTGTCTGATCCTGAGCGAATTTCCGACTGCTCTGTGCCTCAGTTTCCTCCTCTGGACAGTGAGGATTAACATTGTACTTATCTAAAGGAGACAGAATTAAATGAGCTCAGGCAGGTAAACTGTTCAGCGCAGTTCTTGGCACCTAAAGGATGCGATACATGTTAGCTTCTGTCTTACTACTCAGCTAAAATGAATTCCTGTAATACCTGAGGTGGCTTTGTTCTCCAGGTGTCCTTCATGCATTCTGTCTCCATGGTTAATACCTCCCTGCCCTCGTATGTGCTATTTCCCGTGTCCTGTTTAAAGAGAAAAGTAGGCTCAGCTCATGAGACACTACCCAAACCCAATCCCTGAAAAGTGAAAATACACATCAGTTACATCATTTTCTTTTTTGAGAGAGAGAGGGAAGGTGCATGTGCGCATGTTGGGGAAGGGGCAGAGGGAGAGAACATCCAAGACAAATCCAAGAGTGGGACGCCTAACTGACTGAGCCACCCAGCCTTAAGGGGCGTTGATCTTTATCAGCCTTTGAACTTTCTAACCAAACTTTGATCTTTGTTCCTTTCACAGAGAGCAACCTCAATCCTGAGAGAGTCCCTGGAAGCTAAAGTGGCCATGTTTGGTGATCTCAGTCCCGAGGTGGCGGAGACCTACCGGCTGTTGGGTGGGGCTGACCTGGCACAGGGGAACCACAGTGGGGCCCACAAGAAACTGAAGAAGGTAAAGCTGGAGCCAGTACTAACGTGGAGAAAACTCTCCCCACAGGGCACTGTTTCTCCCTCCACCATGCTGTTTTTAAATGAAACTTTATCAAGTGGCTAATTTAAGTAAGATGACGTCACTTTTGCAGTCAAGCTAAGCCAACACTTTTTGGAAGAATGATATAGTCATCCTAATATACGCATATGTTGTTAAATGAATTATCAATGATTTTTTACCATGCAGATATTTTCAAGTTTTTGCCTAGGGCAATTTATCCATCTTTTATTTTATTGTACTCTTTTTTGTACAGTTTATGGAGGAATTCTTGAATCCTTGTGTGTGTTCTTCTGGTGTTTATATGTTTGTTTCTTTTTAAAATCTGGGGTTTGTTTGTATGGAAGGTGTGAGGTAAGGATCTAATGTTATCTTTTTTCCCAATGGCTACCTAGTTGCCCAGCACCGTTTTATTAAAGAGCCCATCTGTGCTCCAGTGATCTGAGAGAACACTTTCATCATGTACTACACTTCTATATATACTTGAGTGGATTTCTGGATTTCTGTTCTCTTCCATTTGTCTTTTTGTTTATTCAAATTCCAGTGCCTCATTGTCTTAATTATAGAGATTTCATAGCATGATTTAATAGCTGGTAGGACTCGACTCCCCTCATGGTTTTTTATCTCCCTAGAGTATCAGGTTTTCTAGACATTTTTGCATATTTATTTTTCCACATGAATTTTAGTATCAACTTGTCTAGCTCCATAAGAAGTTTGGTGGTATTTTTTGGAGGATCGTGTTATTTATAAACTTCTGGAAGACTGACATCTTTATGATGTACAGTCATTCTACCCAAGAACAAGGGATGTCTTTGTATTTGTTCATGTCTACTTATGTATCATTCAGGCACATTTTAAAGTGTTCCCTATATAAGTTCTGCACATTTCTTATTAGGCGGATTTCTAAGCATTTCCTCTTCCTTAATGCTGTTATAAATGGAGTTTTATCTAGTATTATACCTTTTGACTGTATATGTGTGTATGTGTGTGCAAACTGTTGGTTTCTCTCTGTTATTTTTTGTTTTGCTAGCTTAATTCTTTTCTTCTTTGAGTTAATTTGAGCATTAGTCCTTTCAGGTTTTTCAGTGTACTATTACATCATTTGCAAATAATTTTACTTTCTGTTTTCCAGTTCTTATGACTCTAATTGATTTCTCTTGTCTAATTGCATTGACTGTTACCTCTAGTACAGTAATAAGTAAGGGTAGAGATAATAGGCATCCTTTTCTTGTTTTGATCCTAGTGGAAATGCCTCTAGTGATTCTTCATATAGTAAATGCTGGCTTTGGACCAAGGTTTATATATTTTATCATGATAAGGAAACATCCATCAATTTCTATTTTCATGAGTGTTTTTTATTAGAAATAAATGCTGGATTTTATTAAAGAGTTTTTCAGCATCAATGGAAATAAATAATCATATGATTATTGTTAGATTACTTAATATGGTATATTTTATTATAATATTGAACCAACCTTGCATTCCTGAAATAAATCCCCTTAGTCATATTGAACTATTTTCTCAATACAATGTTGATTCTGTTTGCTAACATTTATTTTAGGATTTTTTTGCACCAGTATTGGTAAGTGATATTTGTTTAAGTAACAATGTTATATTTGCTTCATAAAAATAATTTGGACGTTTACCTTAATTTTCTATGCCTGAAGGAATTTATACAGCACTAAAACTATCTAGCCTTTGAAAGTTTGTACCCCCGTGAAACTCTTTAGGTCTGGTGTTAATTTGAATGGTGGGAAATTTCTTGACGCTCTTCTCTATTTCTCTATAAAAAATTGCCTCTGTTGAAGCTTTCTATCTCCGATGAGGTCATTTTAGTAAACTGTATTTATCTATTTCACTATCATTTTCAGATTGATTTGCATGGGGATTTGCAAAGTAATCTCATGAATTTTTAAAATTTCCACTTTTTTCATAGTTATCTTCCCATTGTAATTTCTTCATTTTGTATTTGTATTTCCTCACTTTTTTCATTGACTCAGTTAGCGGTTTGTCTATTTTGTCAATTTTTCAAACTCCATAGGTCAATAGCCTTCCTATTCTGTTTTACTAATTTCTGATTTTATCTTTATTATTTCTTTTCTCATGACTTATTTTGTTTTACTTTGTTGGAGTTTTTCCTTTTTGATTTGGGAATTGAATTCATTTGTTTTCATTTTTACTGAGACAGTGTTTTAGGCTGTGACTTTTCCTTTTCTTGTTGCTTTAGATGCATCTCATAAATATTGTCATGTTGTGTTTTCATTACATGAATTAGTTTTAAAATGGGGAAAACCTGGGAACCTCTAAGTAACATAACTGACCAAACCAAAAGAAATTAACTTTAGTTCTGAGTGGGCTGCCCTGTGCATTGAGCCTTCTTCCCTTACGATTTTTCTGAATCTGTGGCAGAAGGCATCAGGTTTGGTGACGTGTGGTGCCTAGTTTTTAACAAGATGATACATATACCTGTTATCACACGGTCAACGGCAGTTATCGGTCATCTTCTGTACGCCAGTAGCTGTGCTCTGCAGACCTGGGGAAACAATGATCAAGACAGATATGCTTCTTGTCTCCATAAGACTTTCCAGCCTAACCCGGAAGATATGTTAAACTAATCATTTCAAATAATTTAAACATTATACATGTGCCAAAGATATGATTGAGGGAAGACGGAGGAGGGAAGCTAAGGTGGCAGTTGCCCTGGGTTTCTCCATCCTCCACTTCTTTCTTTTTTTTTTAAATTTTTTATTGTTATGTTAATCACCATACATTACATCATTAGTTTTTAATGTAGTGTTCCATGATTCATTGTTTGTGCATAACACCCAGTGCTCCATGCAGAACGTGCCCTCTTTAATACTCATCACCAGGCTAACCCATCCCCCCACCCCCCTCCCCTTTAGAACCCTCAGTTTGTTTTTCAGAGTCCATCGTCTCTCATGGTTCGTCTCCCCTTCCGATTTACTCCCCTTCATTCTTCCCCTCCTGCTATCTTCTTCTTCTTCTTTTTTTTTCTTAACATATATTGCATTATTTGTTTCAGAGGTACAGATCTGTGATTCAACAGTCTTGCACAATTCACAGCGCTCAGCATAGCACATACCCTACCCAATGTCTATCACCCAGCCACCCCATCCCTCCCACCCCCACCACTCCAGCAACCCTCAGTTTGTTTCCTCAGATTAAGAATTCCTCATATCCGTGAGGTCATAGGATACATGTCTTTCTCTGATTGACTTATTTCACTCAGCCTAACACCTTCCAGTTCCATCCACGTCGTTGCACATGGCAAGATCTCATTCCTTTTGATGGCTGCATAATAGTCCATTGTGTATATATACCACATCTTCTTTATCCATTCATCTGTCGATGGACATCTTGGCTCTTTCCACAGTTTAGCTATTGTGGACATTGCTGCTATAAACATCGGGGTGCACGTACCCCTTCGGATCCCTACATTTGTATCTTTGTGGTAAATACCCAGTAGTGCAATTGCTGGATCGTATGGTAGCTCTATTTTCAACTGTTTGAGGAACCTCCATACTGCTTTCTTCCATCCTCCACTTATGAGCTCATACTTATTGACTGATTGTTATATCCCTGGCACTGTGTTGAACGATTTACATATATTAACTTATTTAAACCCTATAGCAACCTGAAGAGTCGGATACCTCTACTGTTTTTTACAAAGAGGAAAACTGAGGCTAAAAGGCTAAGTGTCTCAGCATTGATTGCAAGGTCAGGAGTTGTTGGAGTGGGGCTTTGGCACCAAGGAGTACGGGCTATGCGATCTATCCTGCAGTTCACCCAGTTCACATCTCGGGCTTCTCAGTAAGATTTTGTTTGAACGAGGGCTTCCTATCCTTAAAAAACATTTGAGAACCAGTGACACAGTGGGGAGAATGCCAAGATCAGGATAAAAAGGAGTCTTTGGATTACCGCTGACAGAAAACAGTCAAACTAGCTCAGGTATAAAGGGGTATCTATTGTCCTGTGGTCTCCAGGGAAGGGCCAACAGGCAGATGATTAGCAGAGCAGGATGCAGCGGAGCCTGAGGAGAATGTTCCAAGGCTGTCTCTGCCTGGACTCCTGCCTGCTTCTCTCTCCACATCCTCCTCCTCCTGTGTCATGGTAGTCCCTCCCTTCAAGATGGAGGTCATGGCTGCCCGCCCTCCAGAGTTTTACTTCCTACTCTTGTGCCATTTCTCAGTCATAGCTTGAAAGATCTTAGGGAAAGGGCTATAGATCTGGCCTGAATCAACTGCTCATCCTGGATCAGTTAGCCGGGGGCGTGGCAGGATGTAAGAACATGGTGCCCTCAAGGCAGCTGGGTGGCCCAGCGTGGAGATGGTGCAGTAAACGCGGTCCCATAGTCAGAAGACCTGGGACAGGGTCCCTAGAGCCCCTTCCTGGTTTTGAAGCCTGTGCAATGAGCCCAGTAGGCATCCAGTACCTTCCTCCCTGAGAATATTCCAGGCCAGTGAGGGAATTGCAGATTGTAAACCCCCAACTGTGGTATTGTGTGCTGAGTTCTCCCGGTCCACATTGGGCCCTATGGGAGGGAAGGGGCTTAGGGAAGGTGTCCATAGATAAGTAGTCCTGAAAAAGAGTGTAGCCTAGCAGAGATAGGAATTCCCAGGTTGGAAAAGGGGCGGGAGAAGAGGTTCAGGGGCGAGAGAGTGAAGCCTCTTTAAGAAGCAAAAACTAGTGGGCGCCTGGGTGGCTCAGTTGGTTAAGCGACTGCCTTCGGCTCAGGTCATGATCCTGGGGTCCTGGGATCGAGTCCCACATTAGGCTCCCGGCTCAGGGGAGAGCCTGTTTCTCCCTCTGACCCTCTCCCCTCTCATGCTATTTCTCTCTCGCTCGTTCTCTAATAAATAAATACAATCTTTAAAAAAAAAAAAAGACGCAAAAACCAGTTAGGGCTGACCGTCTGTCGGGAAATCGTCTGGGAAAGACATGGAGGCAGGTCTCTGCAGCCCTGTTTGTAGGTTAAGGGCCTGAGACTTGATCCTTTAAGCAGGGGTCCCAAACAATGACCAGTTCACTGCCTGTGTTTATTTCATTACAGTTAAGGATATAAGTCAAGTTAAGAATGGTTTTCACAGATAATCATAAAACCTGTCATCATTGTACAGGTGATCATAAATTGATTGGAGTATAGGGAACATAAACTGAGCCCCCACTGAGTGAAATCTTAGCTGCGCCAAAAAAGAAACCCATTCTTCTCCTGAGTAACACTAGATTACAAAAACACCTACTCGTAGTTTCATTGATAAAACAAACTCGAGGAAGTTTGCTCTCGCTCTTGTTACATATGTGCCTATACAGTAAGCCTCAATGTTTGTCTCTATATTTAGAGACAAAAGCCCACAGTATTTACCGTGTGGCCCTTTGCAGAAAAAGTTTTCTGAACGTTGCTCTAAGCAGCTGGGTGCCGTGAAGGGAATTTTAAGCAGGGCACCACAGGTCTATATTTGTACTTTGGATTTTAAAAAAAAGAAACAGTGAGGACAGTGTGGAGAATGGACTGGAATGGGCCAAGAATCAAGGCAAGAGGCTTGAGAAAGATGAGAAGCCTCTGTGAAATGGTGGTAACAGCAGCACCCAGACTTTCTTGCCCCCACACTGTCCCAGGGGTAGAATGAGGGGAGGGAAGTGAGGCTGCTTTATTGAGAGTCGCAGGATCCAGTGGGGCTCAGGGGGCCACAGAGCACCAGAAGAAGGAGAGGACAGAGCTTTCCTGGCCGAGACACTGCCTGCCTTGGGAGCCTCCACTGTGATTCCTCTTCCGAGGGTTCAGCCTAGCCACTCAACTCTGGGCCGGGGAGGGACCCCAGGAATGGCGGAAGCTGGCAAATGTTAGCAGATGCCCAAGAAGCTTGAGCAGGGGCCACGCGGACCTTCATGAGGGCCCCCCGCTGTCCCCGGTGGGGTGGGGCAGGTACCACGACCGATCACAGGCTCGGAGCCAGGCTGGCTGCAGCCCAGGGCAGCTCGTACGTCATTCCTAATCCTCACAGCCCAGCAGGTTAGACCTTAGTAGCCCTGTCTTACTGGCAAGGGGCCTGAGGAACCTGGAAACAAGTAAGTTGTATATGGGCAGGTTCCTCTTAAGTAAGGTTCACCAAGCATGGGATGTTAAAGCCCTGCATGAGGGTGACCTTCTGAATCCGACTCTGGGGCAGGGGTCCCTGGGCCCAAGGATCTGCATTTTAGCTTCTGGGGGAAGTTTGAGATCACTGCTGTGGGCCCCATGCCCACCCACGGGGCTTAAAATCAGCTCAGCCTCAAGAAACTGTCAAATTTCATCACTCCCAAAGACTGCCATGGAAGTTAGTGAAATTTTTTCCCTTTAGTTTGGCCTCATTAACCATCAGTCCCAAACGCCATGGCTTTGACATTTTAAAGCTAACGGGCCATTTGCCAGAATGCGGGAAGAAAGGATTGAAACTGGTATGTCCGTCAGTCGCGCGTGCTGTGGTCCATGTGCACGTGGTCCCCACTGACACTCCTCTGCGTGTGCCCATCTGAGGACAGGGCTGGCCACGCTGTGAACGCTGGGGCACGCACACAAGACTTAAAACCCGTCCTGCACGTCTGTCTGCTGCTGAGCCCGACTTTCTCAGTTGCCGTACTTAGCCCCGGGCTCCGCGGAGCCAGCAGCAGCTTTCTAAAATAAAGCTACAGGCAGAGTGTTTCTCTCCTTTTTATCACAACAACAGCTCTGTTCCCCAAGTTTTCAACTCTGGAACAGGAATCCAGTGAACACCGGCTTTTCCAGATGTGCCCTCCTGTGCTGAATGGCCTGGGCATGGTTCCGTGGGCACAAAGAAAACAGGAAGGCACGAGAAACAAAGCAGACCATGGGATTAAATTACTGAGAGGAAAAACCATATTATTGATCTGTTTTTCAAAGGCATCTGCCTGCAGGGCGCAAGGGGAGAAATCTGTTGGCTCCAGATGGAAATTTCCATAGCAAAAGTTCCATATGCTTTTGCAACATAGAGACCTGGTTTGATTCTAGGATGGGCGTCACTGCCAACATTTTCATCCAGGGGAAAGGCTGCAAAAAAGCGTTCCTAAAGACTGTTTCCCAGGGCAGTAGCCTCTCGGGACTCATCCTGGACCCAGTGACAGGGTGAAGTTGGGGTGGCCTCCCCCCTTCATCTGGCCTCCCTAGTGAGTACTTTCCTCTTCAGGGTCAGTCTACTGCCTGACTGCTTCACAGCTTCCAACATTAAACATTTCCATAAAAGAATAACATGATGTTACATGAGTGACCGCTCTCCAAGAAATTCAAAACCCACTATGATGAATCATTTGAAGAAAGGCAGAGGAAAATGGTTTTTATTCATAGATTGTAGATGAGAAAGCCATCCCTGGAAGGGTCTCATGTGATCATGGATCAAGACCCAAGACCAGCCGTTCCTCCAGCCGGCCAAGCACCCAGAGCCTTCTGGTTGACAGCTGTCTTTTATACATAATTCACGCACTGTCATTCTGTCAGCCGACCACTGAGTTTTACTTTCCCTTTAGCCCGTGTGGTGTTTTCCTGGTTGCCCCGGATACCAGGAAATCCAGAGCAAGTTTGGAGTCCCCACACAGCCCCATGTTAGCCCACACTGTTTTCAGGTGTGGTCTTATTTACTGTCCTTGATCCTGATTTTCCTAATGGTCATTGACTAAACCCATTGCCGGGCTGCAGCAGGTCCCCTCCCATCCTTTTTGGAAAGAGAGGAAGGTCATGACATGAATTTCACATCAAAAAAATCCTGTTCTTAAAAAAAAAAAAAAATTCTGTTCTTGGGTTGAGAAGCACGCTTGAAGACGTTCCAGGTACTCCATCGGTTGGGTTGATACAGGATAATCATGGGAGTGGATGGTTAAAGGGATCAAGGTCATCCAGTTTTGACCTTCTGTGGGGAAAAGGTGGAGCCTCCCTTGCCCGCTATAGGCTAGGTGGGAATGAGAAGTCCGGCCCTGCTGGCCATAGGAAGAGGCCCCATGAGGACAGCCCACGCACAGCACCCTTCCACCTTTGTTCTCCCTTAGAAAACACAGACGGCCCCACACAAGACTACGTTTGCTGTGGAAAGCTCCTCAACTATTAGAACTATTGTTCTTGTGGAGTGCTCAGTGCCTTCAAAGTTCCTAAACTGGTGTCAGAATCTGGAGGGCGCAGAACTGTGGGTCTGCACAGACCGTCCCGGCCCGAAACTGGCCGTTTGTCAGAGCCTCACTAGAGGCGGGACAACTGTGAGTTTATGGGCACGTGACCAGCGACAGAGGAAAAGGCAAAATCTCCTGCATAAATTCGGCGTGACCTTAAACAAGTGGAAAGAGTGGTGGTGTGAGGGGCCAGCCCGCGTGGCTCAGTCGGTGAAGCGGCTGCCTTCGGCTCAGGTCATGATCTCAGGGTCCTGGGATCGAGCCCCACATCGGGCTCCCTGCTCAGCAAGGAGCCTGCCTCTCCCTCTGCCTGCCGCTCCCCCTGCTTGTGCTCGCTCACTCTCTCTCTGACAAATAAATAAATAAAATCTTAAAAAAAATAATAATTAAAAAAGGAACGGCTGGTGTGACCACACCGGCTCAGGAAGGACTCGGGCAATGCAGCTGAGCTCCACATCAGAAGGGAAACCGGCCATGAAAAGGCAGCCCAAAGGGCTTAGCTTGAAGAGGGTGTGAATCTCTTGCTCTTTCTGGCTCCGAAATGGGCAAGTCTGGCTTCTATACATAAAGCTGGCTGCTTTGACGGACATGTGGGTACGCAGCTGGATTCCCCACAATAGCAAGTCCCACTGATGTGTTTGTCCTCTAAATATTTGTGTTGCAGTTGTCCTGGAGAAAGATGATGGTAGCTTGCTCCAAGACAGTGGCCAGGGGATGGAGCAAAGTCATGGGGGAGTCGAGGGATGTCGATAAAGATGTAGAAGCCACGGCACATGGCAGCTCGGAGGTGAGGAGTGAGGGAGACAAGGATGCCAAGCACACTTCCTAGGCTGGCACTCAGACACTCAGGGAAAGCTTTGCAGATGGGGCCCACTCTCAGCAGCTGTGTGAGTGGCAGTTCCTGGGCCCCCCTTTCTTCCTCATCTCCCATGTCCCTTGTCCTGGGGCCCCTGGTCCGACCTTATCTGTCCTTCTGTCAAGGGAGGCTGCCTACCCACCTATGCAGCAGGTGGGTCTCAGAATTAGTGGGTCTCCAGGTTAAGGGAGCTGCAGGGCTGTGTGTGTGTGCATGCAAGAGACATAGAGAGAGGGAGGGAGGGAGAGAGAGAGAAGGGGAATCAGAGTATGCTTCCTCAAACACTTTCCAGTCCTCCTGCCTGGGACCCCACCACCACCTTCCCCCCATCCTGCAAGCCTCAACTCACATGTCACCTCACAAAGGCCTTCAGCCTGCCCCTCTCTGCTCTGTCACTGAGGTGGACACCGGGGGCATATTGCAGGGGCTCTGCAAACATCTCCACAGGAACGGGTGGGTGTGGAGGAAGATGTGGGCCCAGTGAGGGCAAGGCTGGTTCCTGCGTAGGGCTCAGGTTTTCCCCCGGTTTCTGCAGGAAAATGTGAGCTGATGAGTTGTGTTTCGGTTTGTCCTTTCCGTTCTCCCAAGGTCATCATTTGAGTAAATCACTTCTGCCTGCCTGGTAAAGATTTGTAAAGGAAAGCCTACTGGTGTTTTTCTAAACCTTGAAGACATTTCGCACTCCCACGTGTTTTAGGTTCTGATATCTTTTTTTCTTAAGACCAGCCTTGAGAACTGACGTGAAAACAGAGGCACAGTGCATGAGTTTCTGGGTAATTCTCTGCCATGGGTGTACTGTTGCAGCAGATAACGTGTACAGAGGAGTAGTGACTTCAGATCTTGAGCATTAGAGTCATTCTTTACAAATATACCTTTCTCTGGCTTTGTTCTTCATTTCATATAAAGACAAAATACATGTGATAGCATGACAGGCTTGGCATGGACCCTTATCAGGCGTGGCAAAGTCTGTCAGTTTTCCATTATTGAGCCACGCGACCTTGCAGCTGGCTCTAGAGCAGCGGCCTTGCTGCTCAGCCTCTGTTAGTAAGAAGGATATGTCCCATCAGCACTTCCATTGTCTGACATTCCTTGATAGGAAGGATGCGGCAATTCTAGGACTTAAGGCTGGACGTTGATGGCGGAAGGGAAGGCTAAGGCACCCCAGTACAGCTCTGCAGAGGCGCTGCTATGAAAATAATGAATGGCCTTGAGTTCTGACTGCAGAAGGTGAGGGATTCCTGCCTAAACCAGAAGATACGCTTCTTTGTGAGTTTGGGTATTTAGCTGTTGTGGTTTTCTAAAGCCAGAGTGACTGAGTCAGCTAACCTCCATGCCAGAGCTGCCCCCACCAAGCCACCCCTCCAACCACACTGGGAAGGCGTGAGCTCTGGGGCACAGAGGTAGACCAGAGCTAGGAAGACACCAACTGATGGCTCCTGTCTCAGCTGCTTTGTCTCCGGGGCCCCTTAGGAACCTAGCTCTCCAAACTCAGTCATGTCAAAAAGAATTTTTTTAATTCCACATCAGATGCTTAAGGTTGTGTCTTAACGACCCCGGCAGCCATGAATGACTGCTAGGAGGAGGAGCACCCAGCCAACAGCACTCTTGCAACCCCTGAACTTGCCTGGATTTGGAGGGCGAAAGTTTGTAATGCTGTACCCACGGTGAAGTTCCCTTACTGGAGGTTTCGGTAGCTGATGGATCCCTGGAGCCATGTGGTCCAGCCATGTCTTCAGGCTCCGTATAAGAATTTCCTCAGATGACCTCCTTGTCCACTTGTGTCCTTATTCATTCATCTAGCAAATATGGCACACACTCCGGTGCCAGGGACCGGGCAGGGCCCTGGGGCACAAAAACAAGCAACACAAACATGGTCCCTCTGGGGACAGCTTGCAGGCTAGTGTAGAAGCCAGCGTCCCCTTTTGTCTTTATGCAGCGGGAGGAAAGCTTCTTGTTTGATGTTTAAGGAATAATAGAAACACAAATGACTTCTCCCAAGCCCTGCAGATAAAATCAAAGAGAAAAACAGCAATGTCATGGCTCCCCCAAATTCATCTGGATCCTGGAAACCTCAGGGTTTTTTGTCGACTTAAAGAAAAATGAGAAACACCCATGTAGGGACTGATATCAGACTGGAGTGCGCTGGCCTTGGAAGAATCTGGAGGACACCAAACAGCTTTTATTTATGGTGTTGAATGTTCTGTTGCCAGTGTTTGGGAGTTCTTTACTTAGTTCAGAGAGGTGTTTACAATGCCTGGCTCCCAGTAGGTTCAATTAACAATTTATTGACTTTGTCTCTGTCGATGTCTATATTTTTAACAGAAGAATCGAAATACCTATTTCACGCAAAAATGCTTAAACAAATTTAGCTAAGAGGAGCAGAACATTGAGAAATTCAATTTACGTTTCTTAGATAAATACGCGGCTATGTAAACATTTTCTAGTAAGGATCAGTGAGGGGTGATTTCACTCTTAAAAAGGTAGCTGTTGAAGACTATTCCAGCTAATGGGTGAATGATTCTTTCCTGTTGTGGTGCCTGGTATGGCGTCCCTGGGCTCTGTCATCATAAAGGAGATTAGGCAGGGGCTGAGGACCTGTTTCCCTCTCTTAGCTGGCATCCCTTTACATATCTTCTCGCTTCAGCTAGAATTTGGGGCAAATCTTCTTAATGAAGATAAGTAGCCTTTACAAAAATCTATTCATGCCAGGGAGAGAAGAGTCTTGACTACCGGGGTCTAGGGAGTAGGGATGGGGATGGAGGGGCTCACCTCTCTTGGGCTTGAGTATTGATCATGACCCTCTCTCCCACCTCTGCTCTCTCTACAAACATTTTCCCCAGGGAAAAGGATCAGCACACAAGGTCTGGAATGGAGGTAGTTAGTAAAACCAGTGAGAATTTGTATAAGCTCTGTCAGTTGCCATGTCATTGTTCCCAGGAATCTGTGAATATTTAGCTACTAGTATGTCTTTCCCTAGCGAATGAGGGGCCAGAGAGAAACTTTGGTAACCAATGGGATAGGATGGAAATTCCTCCTGATTTTTGGATTTTGGAGGCCATCTGTTAAGGCAGGGTAAACTGAGACCTCAGACCGTCTCAAATAATCGCTATAATGTCAGTAAAATTCTAATGTCACGATGAACAAGTTAGCACCAAAGCATGTTGACATCAGCTCATCTCAAAATGAGCTGCATCAGAAGCACTCATAAATATGCGAACAGAGGAGTCAGGTGGGTTTAAAATTAGACCTGATCTTTTACACTAAGTTAAGGTATTTCTGGCCATGTAGGAGAAAATGAAGTCCATTCTGGCAAGAATGTTAGCCCTGGACAGAGGTCTCTCACTGCCAAGCAGGAGTGATGGGAAAGCCTGCTTGCTTCCTGCTTGCAGTCCCTTCCTGAGCACCTTCTCTGCTGGGCCCTGCATGGAGACACCCCCAGGCTTCCAACAGCGGGGAGCCACGCAGAAGAGGAGGGCTGGAAACCTGTCCCCCAAAGCAGTACAGGACTTTCTCAGGTTCCCAAATTTCCTGAGTTCACAGTTTATCTGTGGATTAAAACAGTGCTGGCTCAACCCCATGGAATGAGCAGCACGTTGCCTAGGCCAGGCCTGGCCACGGCCCCAGAAAGGCTGGGGCTTGTTGGATGGAGGGGGTGGGATTTTGGAGAAATTGGATCATATGCTAAATGGAATAACAGAACCAGGGTATTACTTCCTGGTGTTACATAATTCAACCAACAGAGTGAAGATCTGTTATTTTAAAAAAGAACCGTGTCATATCTTCGTCTGATAATATTTCTTTCCTCCAGAAGACAGCCCCATTCTCAGATTCCAGAACTACATTCTCAGTTCCTCAGATTGAACCAAACATTCAGACAGTTTTGATATTTTCCACATCTTATAAAGACAAAGCATTTTGGCTGCTTGCATTTTAATTTTCTCAAAGACCTAAAAATGGCTGGCAGATCAGAACGAATAAACAGTCTTCAGTACAAAGTCCTCAAACCCTCACACTTTTTTTGACTCAAGCTGTTACCATGTAGAAAAACCAATTCAATATTTTAAAAATATAAAGTATTTCAGATATGCAGAAAAGCATGAGGAATGTAACAAACACCTTTGAGCTCACAATTCAATATAAGCAATAAGACATGACCCATACAGTTGAAGGCCCCACTATTCCCTCCAGATGACTACTGTCCTGAATTTGATATCATTCCCATGTTGTCTGTTTTACTATGGACTTGTTTTACATGCTTCAGCTTTGTATAAATGGTATATATAATATATGTTATAATAATATATAACATAAAAGTATATAATGCATTCATCTGCAATTTGCTTTTTTTCTGCCTATAATCACAAGATTCATCTATGTGGATATATACAAGCACAGCAAAAATCTGTATGATATTGTACATATACAATACATATATATATATATCACAATTTACCTATCCATTACTAAATATTGCCAAATTGTTCTAAAAAGTTGTACCAATTTCAACACCCACTATCAATATATAAAAGTGTTCTTCTTACTTAATACCTTTGACAAAGCTTGGTGTTATCATGATCAGACTAATTTTTGCAATAGAATAGGTGAAAGGATGACCTTGTTGAAGTTTTAGTTTGCATTTCTGATTACTAGTGAGCTTAGGTGTGTTTATTAGCCACTTAGTTGTCAACTTCTTTGAATAATCTCTTTATGGCTTTTGATTATTTTCTATTGGTAGGTTGTTTTTCTCATTACCTTATAGGAGTTCTTTATATGTTCTTAATACTAATCCCTTCTCGGTATTGTGCGAGTATTTTCCCTCACTGTACTTTGTACTTTCCCTCTTTGTACTTTGCTTAAGGTGAATTTTGGTGCATAGATGTTTTGAATTTTAATACAGTTAAATTTTATCAGTCTTTTACTTTTGGTTTGTCTGGAAGTAAGAAATACTTCCCTACCTCAAGATGATAAAGATAAACCTTCAATGTTTTCACTCAAAAGTTCCATTTTTTGACTAGTTCAGCTCTTCCCCCTAGACCCTTCAGGGCCACTTCTGTCATCTATCAAGTGTTAGACTCTCTGCCATGTTCTGTTGATCTATTTGTCTATCTCTGGATGAAAACCATCGTTGGGTTTTGGCCATTTGGGGGCACAACTTTCATCTTTATCCTTTCCTTGAGTTTGCCTTGGCCTGGTACAGGCAACCAAATAAATGGCAGCCCAGTAAGCAGAGGGGAGAAATCAAGCCAAAGTTAGCCCTGGGTAAGACATAAGCTAAATAGTTAACTCCTAAATAAATTAATTCCTAAGAAATTACTGTATAGTAATGAATATAAAAAGCCCATATAATATAAAGCATTTTTTAACAACAACAACAACAAAAAGCAAAAGCATTAAAAAACTTTTCTGGGCTATTATAAAGCTCATTTGATAATGGAAACTAGAGACCATCCCCAGTCGATACCAGTGTTCTTACCTTTATTTTCTAAAATGGATGTAAACATAGTTTGCATACAGCTAGTCATAGGGAGTTCTGTAAAATAGTGTTAAAACTTTACATGTGTTCCCTAGATCCCTCAGAGCATCCAAATTGAAGGTCCCTGAAGGTCTGTCCCTGAGAAACCCTGAGCATGCACCAATTCTGTCAGGCATGGGTCTTTATTTCATTCAAGGGAGACTTGATTTTCCTGAGAACCGTTCTCAGTGACACTGTTATAACCTCATGATCACTACTTGGTGTTCTGCAGTGTCTTCAGATTCAGACCCTCTTGTACGGGCCACAGAACAAGAGGACTCTGGCCACCCAGCAGACGGTGGACGTCCTGTCCAAGTGAGTTGGCCTCTGCTTGCACTGTTTCCTTTGCCATTCCGGATCTCAAAGGAAGTTGGTTCCGTAAGGTTCTGTGAACTTTCCGTGGGAAGTTTTACTAACTGACTTCCTGTAACTCATCACCTATACAGGACCAGTGGTTCCTTTGAAAACCCAGCTGTAAACTAGCTTCCCTTGCCCAGATACTAAGAAGAGATTAGCTCTTGAGTAATGTCAGAAACACACACTGGGATTCTCCCTCCTACAGGCCAGCACCTGCAGGTCACCTCCCCTGCGGGAAGGCAAGGGCGCAGTGCCCTAGCTTGGCCAGCTGGCCTGTCAGGATGGGGGGGGCCTGAGAGCCCCCTGACTTCACCTTGCAGGCTGACCCCAGGCCTTTCACAGCCAGTGAGCAGAGAAGAGGCACACACTCTGCTGCAGAGATGCTACACCTCACAGAGCCTGTGGGCGGACTGCCAAGGAAAGATCATGGAAGCATGGAAGGCGAGGAGACAACCAGCAGGGAGCACTGTCTCAGAGCCCACCCCCTGAGCCGGGGCCCCTTCAGCCTTGAGCCAGCAAGGCCTCCAGCCCCAACCTCTCTGCTTGTGTTCTGCTCCCTGAGCCAGCCAAGAGCTGATGCTCTCAGCTCAGCGAGAATGGTCACAAGGAATTAGAAAGAGGGAGAAAAAAAGTCCTGGGCCGGGATTCTCTTCTCATTTATGTTCCCTCCCCAGGCTCCTTCGTGACCTGTAGCTCACAATTGTGAGGCTTCCCTTCACCGCAGCAAGGGCTGGGCTGGGGGCGGAAACCGTGCGGAGGTCTGAGGGGCACCACACTCACCCCACCTTCTGCTCCTTGGCAGGACCCCAGAGGTGGCTGTGAAGTCTAGGCAGGCCCCGAAAGCCAAACCAGCCTTCTACACCGGCGTGGCCCCGCACACTGTGCTGGGGAAGGCGCGGCCCAACGCGGCGGACTGAGCCCCCCCTCCCCCGCACCCCCAGAGAGAGCTTTAGTCATGCCTGGGCGCCAACACTGAGGGTCCCCTATCAACCTCTCCAACAAGAAGGTGGAATCCAACAGCCGGTCAAGGTTTGCTGTTTGCAGACTTCCTGTGGGCCACATTTGGACAGTGGATCCCCTCCAGGGTGATCTGGTGCTTCTACAAAGAATTTTTCTTTTTTTACCACCCAAGTGGTTTTTCTCGCCAACAAAAATTTTTACCCATCAGCACTGCTGGGGCTGCAAGGCTTCTCTTCGAAAGTTTACAACTTCCTGTGTGTGAATACAGTGGAGAGCCCCTGGCACAGATCTGGAGTCAGATTTGGAGCAATAAAATTCTGGAAAAAAGCTCTTTCTTATAGGAAGCTAATAGGAATTGAGAATAAAATGCTAATGAGGAAACTTGGGAGTGCTGGGGGTTGGTATGTGTTTTTAAAATGAAGCCTGCCTCAGAGTTGCTCGGAGCCTAGAGAGGGGCAGGAAGAAGCTTCTCTTTACTCATGCAATCAGTCATTCATTGAATGTGGCTGAACACCCAGTGAGAGCTGGGGACACAACAGTAAACAGGACACACTGTCCCCCTCCCCTCAAGAGCTTGCCACCCAACATGGACGCTACGCTAAACATAATGGTGCAATTAGTTGGTAACAGAGGGAGACCCAGTAGAGCGAGTCAGGTAGTGAATGGTGGTAAAGGGGCCAGAGGTCAGGGGAGGCAGGGGTAAGGGAGTGAAGAGAGATGAGCAGGAGTGAGGCCGGCCTGGAGAGGCTGCAGGGGAGGACCGCTGACTCCTGTGGCCTCTACTCCGGGCAGGAGAAACATGGCTGCCCTCTGGAGCTTTTTTTTTTTTTTTTTTTTTTGAGTCGGCCCAGTCCTTGGCCCCCTGCTCTCCCAGCTTTCTCTGGGTTCAGCACGTGAGGTGGGGAGGGAGGAAGTGAGACGAGCGCTCGTGTCCCACAGTGCTCTTCAGTCTCCTGCGGGGGGAGGCCATCGCCACTCGAGAATGGAAAAGCAGAGTGGGAAGTTTTGAGCACCTCTCTTCGTGCTGTCAGCAATGAGAGCCGGTGCTAGATAAAGGTGGACAGAGTACACAGTGGCTGGGGATGGGCTGTGGGTGGCGCTGTTCCTTCTCCTTCCCACCCTCATCCCATGGACCGCGGTCCAACGAGGCTGGTGCTTAGATGGCAGCAGGATGCAGCACGGGCCCCCTTCCACCCCAGCACCCAGTGAGAAGCCCAAAGCCACTCTGGTTCCATTTGGGCAGGATGCCACCTCAAGAACTGATGGGGGAAATCAACCAAAAAGGCTCATGACAGGGGAGAGAGAGAGGCAGGGTCCCTGGCCCCCCTTGGAAGTTGTGAGCTGCCCACACAGGCCACCACCACTGGTACCCACTCACCCAGGTAGGCCTGTGGTGGGATGAAGGCACAAGACGTGGCCACTACTCACCAAGTGTTCCATCTAGTTGAAGACGTGGGTTTCAACATGGATGGTGGAATAAGCATTTTAAGTATACACCACACACTGGAGTCTGCCAGGGACTGAATGTGTACCTCCAAAATTCATGATGAAGCCCTAATCCCCAGTGTGAAAATTCTAGGGGTGGGGCCTCTGGGAGGTGATGGATACATGAGTAGACCCCGTGAATGGGATTAATGCCCTGATCAAAAGAGACACGAGACGTGACTGCTCTTCACCACGTTAAGACACAAGACGACCGTCAGGCAACCAGAGAGCCCCAACCAGGCACCGAAACCACCAGCGCCTCGATCTTCGACTTCCGGCCTCCGGAACTGGGAGACATAAACGTCCTTTGTGTGAGCCTCCCAGTCTGCTCTGTTGTTGCCGCAGCCTGAGCAGACAGGAGTCCATGCCGGGCTTTTGGGGGAAAAAAAGTGAATTCTGATGTGACTTCTTCCTTTCTGCATTTCTTGGAGGAGAAGGTCTTGGAATCACAGAAACTAAAACGCATTTTAAAAAATTTTGTCCCTACTCCAGGAAAGAATGAACTTAGGAATGTCCCACCCAAATGTCTCCCATCTGTTACATGTGTTAACTTCAACACGAGAGGAAGAACATAGATATTCATGGTCTTTGTGGTAAAAAGTTACACACAGGCAAGGGTATCTAATAACTCTTCTGTGTCTCCAACAACTGCAAGTTTTTCAAGCACCAAGAAGCAGCCATGATTTACTAACCCCTCCAATTTGCACTTTAGTGAACCAGCCGTGTTGGCATGCCTTGGGCTGTCCTGGTTTTAGCACTGAACGTCCCATGTCCCGGGAGACACCTCCATCCCAGGCAACGAGATGGCTGGTCACCCTGCAGCACTAGCCTCCCAGGCTGTGATGACCACAGTCTTACCACAAACTGTCCAGTCTGTGTTTGAATACAAGCCAGCTGGTTTTTGCTCTGTCCGCCATGCTTTCTAGTTGTGTGTGAACACCACCAAGTTCTAATTCAGGTAAGGAACCGGAACTTCTCATACAGAGTCTCCCCAGTGATTCTGTGCCACCATTTAAAGAAAAAAAAAAAAATGCATATAAACACATACAGGTTTTAATTAAATAGAAAGCACAAAAACACCTACTAGAAAACATTCATTTTCTCCAGGAACAAGGTGGGGGTTTTTTTCTTAGATTTTTATTTTTATACATTCTTGTGACATTTCCCTAGGTAGGGAACAGCTTAGAAAGATCAGCTTTTTCAATGATTCCATCCTAAATATACATTTGAAAGCACACAATATCAAAACCACCAGTGGGAGGGTGCAAAGCATTCTGTTAATACGGTTCTGTCCCACCCCCAAAGTTGATTTCTTTTGTCTCCAGAGCGACTGGTTTTAAAGGACCCGGAGCTGTGGGGTGATCTGCACAGTGTGGAGGGCCTGCCCTGCTCCTGGGTGATCCAGAGACTGAGCAACCAAAGATAACCTTGGGAGTCCATATCGGTGAACACTCTTGGCAGGCTACTCCTTGAAGATCCATGTTCTAACATGGAAATATAAATTAAGACCTCAGATACTTATTTTCCGAACCGAGGTGGGTCACGATATTAGTAATCTGTTAGCACTCATTTACCAGATCACAAGGCAGGAGAGGGACATAAAACTAAGCCCGCTCGGACTCACAGAACAGACTCCCCATCCTCAGTCTGTCTTGCCATCAAACCGGTAGGCTGTCACCTTGACCAATAAATCACTTCTACAAACACCATCACCCACTACAGCTAACAGAAAATCAGCCCATCCTTGACTGTATCAGAAACGAGAAGTCTATGCAAAGCTGTCACCTCTGTACCAGTTTGTGACAGTTACTGGCTCATCTGGCCGACAGTGCTTTAAACTTGGAAATCAACTTTGTCTACACCCGGATTCACAGTGTTTATAAGACAGATCACCCTGAAAGCTTTGCTGCATTTTTCCTTGGCTTATTAAGAAATTGCACTCTCCCTCAACTCTCTGCTGTGGCCATTTCTGGAGGCCGAGGAGATGGAGGTGTTGGGGGCTGGAGAGCCACTGTGTGACCCTGCCCCCCCATGCCATAACCACCACCCCCATCACCATAACCCACTTGAGGCTGATGTCACCTCGAATCGTTATTCTTCAGCTTACTACCGGCGGCTCTAGATTCTGTGTTAGACAAAATACAGTTTCAACTTTATGTGCAAGAAACTAGCTTGGATTAAAATAACGCTGTGCTGCTAGAGATAATATTTTTGCATGAGGCCCGACCTCTGAAGATGGAAGCCTTAAAAGCAATGCCCTCATGTAAAATTATACAAACCCAATAAAGCACCCTCGCTCTAGTGTCTTAAACTCGATGGTATGGATGTGAAGGTCAGCATCCTGTGGCCCAGGAGCGTAGGGCCTTTGCCTTCTTCTGGGGGCCCCTCCTGGGTGCGTCAATGCTGGGCAGCCAGAGGGGAGCCCAGCTTCTTCCCCTAAAACATCTTCTTCTATTCAACATTAGTATTCACTCCCCTGAACAGAACACCCCAGCTGTAATCATTTCTGTTAAAAACACAAAAACTTCCTTGAGATTGGTGGTGGTTTTTTATCGCGAAGTCTCTGAGCTCAGAAAGACCTTGGCCCCTTTCGAGGTGGGTTGAAAGGGCTTCTTCGGGAGGCATCGTCCACCCTGTGCTTCCGGGGGTCACTGCACGACCATCTGGGAAGCCAAGTTCTCGTCCGAGCATCAACGTTCTCTTTATGGTCTTCGGGGTCTGCCTCCCACCAGGAAAATTAAATGTTTAGGTGCTAAGGGCTAAGGTGCAGAGAAGCTCGAGAATACTCTGATAGGAGCTGGCTACTCCAGAACTTGGGTTGTAAAGAGTATTTAGACCGTGCGCTACCTGACCACCTAATACTGCAAAAAAAATACTCGAAGCTAGTCCCAAGAATTATTTCCCCTACACACGCAGGACCGGTGCAGGGTTCTGGGACCTGTGCAAACATAGCAAGTATATTAGGGACTTGAAATATCACCATCGGCTGAGGCTGTCCTCTCCATAAATAAAACAGTATATATATATATATTTTTTTAAAGCTCTGCACATAGAAAGCAATTCGTTCAGGTCTTAAAGTGAATTTAACTTTTTCCTAAAGAAAAAAGCATTTAGAGCTTTATTTTTTTTTTTAAATGGAAGCAATCTGCTGCTTTCCTAGGATTTCTTTTCGAGAAGACTTAGAAAAACGTATACACTTTTCCTTTTCAGTGCTAGTTTATTATTTCATATTAGCACATGCAAATAAGATTGACTCATAAATATATTACTTTTACCTTGTTACCGTAAAGGCATCTGACCTTATGGATAGTTAATTATAATTTTAGGCAGATGTGAGACATTTCTGTGACCAGGAGCAAAACTGGTAGAAATTGTCTCTAGCGGTGGAGAGAAAACTCCAGGAAAAGGAACTTTGAAGACTAAATAAAAAAATATGTGTCAAAGTTCCAACTCAAAAATAAAATTCCAACACCTTTAAAGGCGTGAATTAATTTGAAACCTTTACCGATTATAGAGTAAACTGACATCGCCTGGAGCGCTATTCGGAGAAAGAAAAAGGGGGCGTCTTAATCAAGAGTGAGCTTCCCTCCTTCCAATTAGTAAAGGCCTGCGTGTGTGTTGCCATGTTACCAAGTAAGATACCACTGAAAACAAAATATTTATCAAAACCAGTGGCCCTCACTGCCCTCCTCCTGATTGTCTAGGTAGAGGAGGGCCACTTTCTTTTCATCCGAAATCACCGACCTTTGGTCTACCATCCTCTGTAGCTGCACCGTCTTGTCAAACTCAGTCTGCTCCTTGCCCTTTTCCCCGGGGACCTGGCGTCCGTCCCCAGCAGAGCCCTGCGGGCTCCCGCCGGCCACCCAGGCCTTCCCACTGCCCCCGTCTCTCCAGGC